CCCCCCCCCCCCACCTTAGCAATTCAGTGTAACCACAGCTATACTGCTTTAGGGGTATTTAGGGGTATTAAATATCAATCACGGCATCAACTATTTCGCTGACCTCAGAATGAGATTTCGTCAAAACTCTTTTCTTCAAGATTGGTTTAGAAACAAATTTGGAGTAGGGTTAGGTTAGGGTTAGTGTTGGGGTTAGTGTTGGGATTAGTGTTGGTGTTTGGAGTAGCGTTAGAAAACCATTGCTTTGTTACGTTTTGTCTCTCTGAGGCCAGCGAAATAATCTCTTCCTAAAATCACCTATCTATTGCTCGTTTGCAATCGACGCCATATTGGTTGATTTTCAAAATACACGTGGCAACTATAAAATTCATATTCTTCATTCTTTGTCGTATTTAGCCAAAAACCGTAAACTATCCATAATACAGTAGCATGTTTTCAAAACAAACCCAGAAAATGTTAAATTAACTCAACTACTTCGCTGTAAACGGCTTAACGAAAGTTTAAAATCAACCAAGATGGCGCCTAATGACTTGTAGTGACGTCATGTCACATGACGTCACTACGAGTCATTAGACGCCATCTTGGTCATCTGCAAGCAAAGAATTATTATTTTGGTGATTGCTAGATAGTATACTTCAAAATAAGGTTTCCGTTTTTATAACGTAGAAAAACTATCCTAACCCAAAACTAAACCTAACCCTAACCCCAACCTAACCCTAACCCCAACGCTAACCCTAACCCTAACCCCAACCCTAACTTATTTTAAAAATTGATATAAAAACGGAAACCTTATTTTCAAGTATACTATCTAGCAATTGCCTTATTATTTTGCCGCAATTTACCCTGGATTCCAGAGCCTTCGACAGTAAATAATAAATTGAAACGTCGCGAAGGCTCTGTTTGATTCTTTGATTAAACCGCGCCAATCACAAAAAAGAATTAGTGGTTTTAGTACAGAATATGTACAGAATCTGTAATTAGGTTCGAGCACAAACGAAATGAAACTGAACGTGCATTTTAAATATTATAGTGCGGTATATATAAGGAATTTATATTCCTTATATATACCGCACTATAATATTTAAAATGCATTAAAAATAAAAACATAATTATAAGAAAGAAAGCAATCTCATTTCAAGTTGCGTCATATTTTTTACAAAAGCTGGCGCCGTGGCGTGCATTCCGGAACACGAGAAATGCTAAATGCTTCAGCTGGCATTCTGGAACACGAGAAATGCTAAATGCTTTAATAATTGATCGTTTTGCTTTGTTTAATTTTGAAAAAAAACAACATAATTTCAACTAGTGAATTCTGTTTAATTCTTTGCATTATATGTATGCTGAAGCGGCACACCATCTGTTGGAATGAGCCACGATGCAAAATATATAGCACTTGAATTATACGAAAGCTTACTTGAGAAATTTTGCATATTCAGGTTTCTTCCAGTATAAAAGGTATTTCAAATAATTTACAAAAGATGAATCCTTGAAATAGCCACGCTGAGCAAGAACTAAAAGATAAAATACAAAAAGATTTAAATCGTGTAAGTTCTGTGGACTTTAATTATTTCCGATGGTATATATATACATATATGCACACTTCATGGGATTTGATTCTTGTAATTACGCAATGGAACTATTACCTATAAATGAACAAAATTTTGATCTAGACAAGTCTAGACAAAAATTTCATCACAGCTTGAAAGAGCATCACAAAATTAGTAATATTCCGAAGTTTCGTTGCGAAATGTTGTAAAATGCGGATAATACAGCCCTGCGAAGTTTGCCGTTTTTCAGTCATTTTGAATTGCGCACGGGAAATTGATACCGTTTTCTGAAAAAGGTATCAATTTCCCGTGCGTATTAAATACAAAAGGACTGAAAAACGGCAAACTTCTAGACTCGTCTAGACCAAAATTTTGTTCATTAGGGAATAGGTCCAATCCAGGAGGAAGCAGTTCTCTTTTATTACGTTACCAACGCTTTAAACAACACGAAATAGTCCAACGACCAATGTGATGAGAGAAAATAGCCTGGATACGAGGAAAGATATAATTTTACAAATGCATTCTGCATTTTGGTATGTTCTGCATTCTGGTATGTTTTCACAAAACCATTTAATTCTGATTGGCTAAGAGCAAAGCAATTTTATCATTATTAAAACAGTTTACTCTGCGGGGATACGGCGCCAAAAAACCCAGAAAATTCAGGGCCAATGTCTTTGATTTCAAGTGTCCGTTTAAGCCGGTGTAAGCATAGTTAATATATACTGGTGTAAGTGACTATGAATTTGCTAATAGGCCCCTAGTATGGTTTCTTGTGCATGCAATTTGGAAAACAAATACATAACATAAAATGGCGAATTCGAAAACGAATTCTTTAAGATTTTGCGAACTATTTGGAGAATTCAAGGACTTTTGTAACAAAACTAAATATGTAAATACATGTACATTGACAGCGTTTTACCGCCCAATTGAACTCTAATTAATGTTCTATAGCCTCTAATCTGCACGCTGAAACTATTGTTCAGTTCCCAGTGAATGAGAGTGAAAATTGCATTTGTGTCTGATATAATATATGCATGCAACAGACACTTTTCATTATTTGAGAGTCGACGACTGTGGTTGGAACTTCTCACTTTACATGTCATTCAAAGGTACGGCTTCCATTTTGAACAGTTGTTCAAAGGAACTTAAAATAAAGCTTATTGTGGACCTACATTGAAGCCTCAAGTTTTCATATATCTTTTTTAGGCAGAGTTTTTTCAGGTAGTTTCACCGAAAAACACGACAGCTTATCAGTGTGTAGAATTTGAGATATCTTTTACAGGTATAGTTCAGGCACAAACCACGACAGCTTATTGTAGAATACTACCTATATACACTGGAGTCTGGACCATGTTTGACAATTTCACTATATTTATTTTCAGAGCCTAACAAATTATCGAGCATAAACTATTCTTATTCCAACGAAAGTGCACGTTCAGAATGAAGAACCACTTCAACGCCCTGTATTTGTTAATCATCGCGACATGCTACATAAGCTACACCGAAGCAGCCCAATAATGCTATGCTTTTACCGGGCCAAGTGGAGCTAGACAATGTGTCAAGCTGCAGGGGTACAACGGCTACCAATGGGCTACTTGTCGCACAAACTCGTACTTGGTACAAATGTCGAACGGCAGGCACCACTGTAGCATCAAGTCGCATACATATTGCCTCTACCAGTGTATGTTGAATAAGTCATAGGCAGCCCAATGTTATGGACCTTATGGTTGCCTGCCTGCGCGCGGGCGAAGCATTGTATAGTTGTATTATTTCCTAAGGTAGGCAAATGCAATCAAACTAACGATACATATACTTTCAAACAATCC